TCACAGTTGGCCAGTAGTGCCCATAACCAGCTATTTTCTTTAGCATCGGTACCACAAACAATTGAGCGGTTACCCATGCAGATACGGGGTTACCCGGCAATCCGAAGATTGCTTTCTTCTTTCCGTTCCACAAGCCAGTCGCAAAAGTTGTGGGCAGGCCGGGTTTCATCCAAACACGACCGAAGTGAATGTCGAATTTGAAATGCTCTTGAGTGATTGACTTGAGGTAGTCCTGAACTTAAGATAATCATTATGATATTCAGAATAACACTCGTGTTTGCGACAAAATGTATTTACTCAGCACAGAATAGGTTTCATTAAGCAGCACAGTTTCGTTTCTGTGCATTCGAAACTGTACCATTAGCAAATTAACAAGAGAGAGAATCGGACACTGAAGATATTCAAAATTCAGAAAAATTAATTTGCAATGGATGGTGTGCAGGGCATGAAAGTGGAGAGGAACCTTTTCGCCTATAGAGACACCACCGGAGGAGACGATAACATCCGCTACTGAGAACGCAAAGTTGAGCGCATCGATCAATTTACCTTCACTGAACTTTATTATTTTAGGTATTGACTCGCAAACGAACTGAAAATTTCCCCAAAATTGTATCTAATTATCAACTGCTATGAGATAACCACAGTTTATTATCAATGAATTCCATTGAAATCCAAAAATGTTCAGAAAATAAAACCACCGAAATTCGTCGAATTAAGTGATTGATTCAAAGTTTCGAGGTGATAACTTGAAGGAATTGCAAGAGCGATAATCAGCGGAGACAGGTTGAATGATGAATTCGAGACCTGTCCGGCACGATACCAATATCGATCGGTCTTGCGGAACAGCTCCGGAAGAGAGACAGCAACCGAGGTCGATTAGTATCTCTGACCAAGCCAAGTGGACGATCATTCGATGGGTGATCGACCAACTGAAACAACTCGAATTTCATTAAATTCGTTTGCATTCTAAATATGACCTTGTTCATATTTGATTTGTCTCCATAAAAATTTCTTCATGAAACGAGTTCGATACAGTTATTACAGAGGAAACTCACTTAATGCCCCGTAGACATAACTGCAATTTTTGGTCGCTAGTAAACCCTAACGGATTTCCTCTCGGAACCAACCAATATACCGATCTCAGCCGATCCAACAACGGTATTGATCGGCAATAAAATGTCTCCAACAGCTACATCACTTCCAATTTCCCTGAACTACACTCAAGTAATTGTGATAATGAGAAATGCGCTATCCGACAAGCTGACTAGTTGGATCGAATCAATTACTTTCGCTTGATGATCCTCCTTTCAAATCATCTAACTCTCCAGAATTCAGTTAATTGTGCTAAGAATCTAGCTCTGATGGCCTTCCGAATGGTAAGCAACTGTGATCTTAAATCATACCTTATATCCTGTCCAACTTTGGGAGCTGACAGTATTTCAATTGCAATTTCCTCGACGTTCTGAAAGTTTTTCAAAATTAGGAATATCTTGATATATTATTGAAATTGCTTAACATTATGCTCACATGGGTGAAAGATACATGGGTTAGAATAGAACATGGAAGATTCAATTGTTTTTATAGCAATTTTTGAACAGAAAAGAAAATGACAGCTTTGCATCATAATTCATCTTTGTGAAATCTTACATCGTGTTCAACTAGTTTGGTATCTTCTACTTTCCAGAATTCAGTTAATTGTGCTAAGAATCTAGCTCTGATGGACTTCCGAATGGTTAACAACTGTGATCTTATATCATACCTTATATCTTGTCCAACTTTGGGAGCTGACAGTATTTCAATTGCAATTTCCTCGACGTTCTGAAAGTATTTCAAATTTAGGAATATCATGATATATTATTGAAATTGCTTAACATTATGCTCATATATGTGGAAGATACATGGGCTACAACAGAACATGGAAGATTCAATTGTTTTGACAGCAATTTTTGAACAGAAAAGAACATGACAGCTTTGCATCATAATTCGTCTTTGTGAAATCTTACATCGTTTTCAACTAGTTTCGTATCTTCTACTTGAACCACTGCATCAGCACCATCCGGTATCATTGACCCTGAATCCAGAATTTCTTATAATCTTTCTCTCAACTCAACTATCACTATATTCTTATGAATTTTGGTATTTTTGTAGAAGAGAATGGGCGTTCGGTAGTAAAATTTTGTCATACCCACGATAAATTTCTTGCACTATGATGAGAAAAACTCGAATATATTATGCTCACATGGGTGAAAGATACATGGGTTAGAATAGAACATGGAAGATTCAATTGTTTTTATAGCAACTGTTGAACAGAAAAGAACATGACAGCTTTGCATCATAATTCGTCTTTGTGAAATCTTACATCGTTTTCAACTAGTTTGGTATCTTCTACTTGAACCACTGCATCGGCTCCATCCGGTATCATTGACCCTGAATCCAGAATTTCTTATAATCTTTCTCTCAACTCAACGATCACTATATTCTTATGAATTTTGGTATTTTTGTAGAAGAGAATGGGCGTTCGGTAATAAAATTTTGCCACACTTACGATAAGTTTATTGCACTATGATGAGAAAAACACGAATATTTCGCAGCACGTAGAGATACCGATACTACCGTCTCACCTGTATTCACTCGACATACGGTGTTCGGCTTCAGCGAAACTGAGGCCAACATTCCAGCAGTGGTTTTATGAATGACACTTCTTTTACCGACACCATCAGATGCTAAAATTTAGCGAAATACAATAGACAATCGATTCAGAAGGGTTCGGACAGATGTGGTCATCATAGCCATCTTACTCCAAATGGCTTATGATTCGAACGGGCTTTTGTTTAGCCGTCATTCGAATGAGGCACAATAAAACCATGTGAATAGCACTGACCAATCACGGCATACCCATCCTTAATCGACATTCGTACTTTTGGATACGGTTTAATTGCGGTTATATCTTCAGCCAACACATCACCTTAAAACAATTGCAATTCCCAACAACGCAGATAATGAAATCTGAACACTCTCTCGGATAAGAATGTAACCGTGTCTTCGAAATTCCTGCTGGTACTCTGCATACTCCCTTTGATTTGTTCAAGACATTGTCTAGTAATAGGATGGAAGTAATTGAACGATGGAATTAATACGAGAACAGTCGTTAGAAGCTGGAAGGATCAGAATTGCTATCAAAAAACATTTGCACAAAGTCCTAATAAATCGGTTCAATTCTATGAGATGCAACGGTTAAAATAATAATTCACATTCCCATTTTCACCTTCCTTGATATCACAGAGTGGTTAAATTTTTGATTGTTTCACTGTAAAATATTTATCGACTATTTCCAGTGCTTCTGTCATTGGAATCGCTGGCCAAGGACTTTGACGATGTCGCCTGATCAGTTCACTAGCAGCTTTGTTTACGCTGCCGTCTTCATCACCTTCCATTTCGCGAAAATTTGCAATCTTCAAAAGAGAGCCATCTGTCATTATCTCGCAAACGATCGAAACTAACGACAAGCTACTATGAGAAATATCAAATTGACAATTACGAAGCAATCCAATGCTTCTTGCATACAAAAAGCCAAGCCTGTCACGGAAGAGTTTTCAAACGTCATTCGATGAAATGATAAAAGTAAGGCAATAATAAGTTAATAATCAGTAGAAACACGTCCATCCACTTTGGAAACAACCTAATAACGAGTTGTTCATAAAAACAAATAGTACAAATTGTTGAGTGCTGAAACTAGAAACGATGTCAGCAGTAAAAAACCATTGAATGTGTTGAAAGCAATCCGATATCTATCCTTTTCAACGATGTGTTTGCACAATAGAAGTTCAGCGAAGTGCACTTTGACTACGGCACAGGAAGAGAAAATTTTCGAATCACACAAATAATAGTCAATACACGCTACATTGAGCAAGCAAGTTTATCAGTATGAACGTTGTAGTAACGTACTGATAAAATCATTACAACGTCTCGAGAGAATAGCAGTGCACCGCAATTCTGCCTTGAGCAAGTTATGTCATTATGTCTCAAGACTAAACTGGGTCATTCGGGCAGATTATAATGAGTCAAATCGATATCCGGAAAGACCGTGGAATGGAATGAAGCTTACCTGCAAAACGGAAGAAATAGTGGTCATTTTTTCAGTACAATATAAGAACAGCATGCATGCAGTCATGTTCCTTGAGTAAAATAGCTAAATTTATCAGACGTCACAAGAAAAAACGTCTACTACAACAAACAGATCAACCAGAGTCTCTGCTATCTAAAAATGAAAATTTTGCCGAGAAATTCTGCCTCTCCGACGAGATATAGCTATTTACTTGATGCCATAGGGGTTACCACACTCAAGCCTACCGTACTCTCAGCTTTGATCAGAAACGTGTCAATTTCTTCACACCAGTCGATTGACTGGAATCTCTAGATTCAGAAAAGTATATATTTTGTTGGGCGATTTTGCTTACTAGAGGAGATATAGCTAATTTATTAAAGCTATCTCAACTAGAGCAATGGTGCTCATTGATATGCACTTGATCACTATAGATCAATAGATGTTATGCATTACTATAGAAATATAGGTTTGATAAATTCAAGCCTACCGTCTTCTCAGGTTTTCCCAGTAACATATTGATGTTTATAAATCATTTGATTGAGCAGAGCCTCTGCTTTCTGAGAATGAAAATTTTGCCGAGAAAGTCTGCCCTTATGAGGATATATAACTATTTTGCTGGTGCTGTGGGGGATACCACACTCAAGCCTACCGTACTCTCAGCTTTGACCAGAAACAAATCAATTTCTTCACACCAGTCGATTGACCGGAATCTTTAGATTCAGAAAAGTATAAATTTTGTTGGGCGATTTTGCTTACTTGAGGAGAAATAGCTAGTTTATTAAAGCTATCTCAGCTAGCACAGTGGTGCTCATTGATATGCATTTGCTCAATATAGATCAATAGATACACCATTCGATTCGGCTAAGTTGAAGAGATATAGGTTTTATTAATACTATCCCGAGGTCATGCGGGTGCCAGCTTCAAGGCTGCAGTATTCTCAAGTTAGCCGTGTAACATGTGAACTTCTTTGGATTTTTCGATCCAGCTGGATCTTTACATTCAGAAAAACATATATTTTGCCG